AGGGTGAGGGTTTAGGGGTTTGAGGGTGTGGGGTTTGGAGTTTATTTTCAGGGTTTGGGGTTCAGGATTCAGGGTTTTGGGTACAAGCCCCCAGAAACCTTCCTCGGTTACTAGTTACTTAAGGTCTCGGGTTTAGAGTCCAGGATTTGCAGTGTAGGGCCAGCCTTTACAGGGTGGTAGGGTTGACAAGTGTCTCGGGTTTGGGTTTGGGTGTGTAGGAACAGGTCATATTGAAGAACGCGAAACCCCAAACCCTAAACCCTAAACCCTCCAGAAGTAGAGGCTTATCCCTTACCAAGGGGCATGGAGGCTCCAGTGTTCGGGGTTTCGGATTTTATGGTTTAGGGTTTCGGGCTCCGAGTGACATCCTAGACCTTGAAGCCGTAAGACTAAACCCTAGTTCAGGGTTTAGGATTAAACCCAAAATTCCCCACCCCTAACCTGTAGTTAGGAATGCAGCAGTAGTATTCCCGCTTAGTCCTGGTGCCTGACCCTGTTCCAGTACTTGGACATCCCAGCCTCGACGGATTTTTCATGGCTCCAAATATATACGGACCTAGATAGTTACATATATTATTCTTCGGGGTTCCTTATTATGATTCTAGTATAATGGGCAGCAAAACCGCATTCTAATTATTGAGGCCCCACAATATGTCATCTCCACCAATTCTGGACTGCCGGCGGTGGTGAAAGTGCGGGAGGGGGTGCGTGGGCCTAGGGTTTAGGAAGAGGGTTGAGGGTTACCCATGAGCAACTCGGAAAAAAACAACCTTCTACGAAGTCCTAACGATGCACTCAGACTACATGTTGGGATGCGACTGTTCGCCAGTGAGTTCGGGCTCTAGGGTTTAGGGCTCAAGCTGGCGACGGGCTGTAGGGTCAAGTGCCCACGGCTTGGGGCTGTGAAATGAAATATTTATAGTGGCCTGAATAATCATAAACATATTCCTGCGGGATCCAAGTTGCAGGTCTACGACCATTATTCTAATTATGAAAGCCCGTACATGATCCAGTAAGCTGTAGTCTGCGGTCTCGATCACTGTACGAAGCATCATGTCGATTTCTGTGGATGTGCATCTGCTGAGTGGCAAGCGTGCCTCTGTGGAAGTGGAAGCGGAGGCCTCTGTCGAGTCATTGAAGCGTCGCGCCCAGAGTGCTCTGGTAGTCCCGGGTAGCGGGCGGCTGCTGAATTCTGTTGGAGAACCGCTAGACGGAGCACACACGATCACAGAAGCGAAGTTGAAGAGTGGAGACGTGCTCACTCTCCATGTGAACCGGGTCCAGCTTAAAACCACCAGGCGAGGCGACGATTCTGTGACTGCGTTCGCCGCTCTCTTGGGTGATGGATCTGTTTTCACCTGGGGTGATGCCCACTCCTGTGGGGACAGCAGTGCGGTGCAGGATCAGCTGCGAGACGTGCAGCAGATCCAAGCTTCCAGCCGTGCAATTGTTGCAATCCGGGTTGACGGATCTGTCGTCACCTGGGGTGATGCCGACTCTGGTGGCGACAGCAGTGCGGTACAGGATCAGCTGCGAGATGTGCAGCAGATCCAAGCTTCTGATGGTGCATTTGCTGCAATCCGGGGCGATGGATCTGTAGTCTCCTGGGGCTTTGGTGGCGACTGCAGTGCGGTACAGCATCAGCTGAGGAAAGTGAAGCAGATCCAAGCTTCTAAGTACGCATTTGCTGCAATCACTATCGATGGATCTGTGGTCACTTGGGGTGATGCCCACTCTGGTGGCGACATCAGTGCGGTACAGCATCAGCTGAAGAATGTGCAGCAGATCCAAGCTTCTATTCATGCATTTGCTGCAATCCTGGGTGATGGATCTGCGGTCGCCTGGGGTAGTGCCGACTTTGGTGGCGACAGCAGTGCGGTGCACGATCAGTTGCGAGATGTGCAGCAGATCCAAGCCTCCAATCGTGCATTTGCTGCAATCCTGGACGATGGATCTGTCGTCACCTGGGGCAATGCCCGCTATGGTGGCGACAGCAGTGCGGTGCAGGAGCAGCTGCGACATGTGCAGCAGATCCAATCTTCTGGTTGGGCATTTGCTGCAATCCTGGGCGATGGATCTGTGGTCACGTGGGGTGATGCCGCCTATGGTGGCGACAGCAGTGCGGTCCAGGATCAGCTGCGAAGTGTACAGCAGATCCAGGCTGGTACACGAGCATTTGCTGCAGTCCTGGGTGATGGATCTGTGGTCGCCTGGGGTAGTGCCGACTTTGGGGGCGACATCAGTGCGGTACAGCATCAGCTGAAGAATGTGCAGCAGATCCAAGCTTCTGTTTATGCATTTGCTGCAATCCTGGACGATGGATCTGTCGTCACCTGGGGCAATGCCAT